AAGGGAAAAAAGTGAAAATGAAACGTGATTGAACGCTCAGATATTCATGCGCTTTCATTTTAATAACAAAATTTTCCTTTTCCAGGAAACATTATTTGTAGGAAATCCTACGATGAGTTGGGTCTACTCTTTATCCCAGAAAAAATGAAATATTATAAAAGTTATGGCAGAAAAATAAAGCCTGAACCATCTTTTGTATTGATTTTCTTTCCACGCAGATTTCAAAAAGTTAGGTAATACGAGGAATGTTTAAAAATGATGCATCCAAGCACGTAAGATTCTTCATAAGTAGGTTTCACTGATATTTTATTAAAGTATTCACCTCCAACAGATATACAAAGTTTCAGTCATCGAAATCAATCTTTGAAGGTATTTTCCACTTCTTTTTAGGTATACTATGAAGACAATGGAATATTACTGAAACGAGGTATATGTACTAACCAAATTTGTCGACATGACAAGCATTTTTTTTAGCTTTGGAAACAAAGAGGTCACAAGGGAAAAGGTCAGGTGAATACAGAGGATGGGAGAGCGTGACTTTTGTTTCTGCTTTAGAAAGCCTTGCACTATAGACACGATGTGTTAGTTGTCATGTAGCAATCTAACATTGGCCAAACCTTGTCTTCGTTTCCGAAATTATTTGTTTAATTTTCGAACTTGTATAATTTTGCATTAACAGATTCACCTTTAGGAACAGCAACCTGAATAGTGGAACCCAGAGTTATAAAGAAAATGGCATACATTTGTTACCTTCTTAAATTTATACTGATGGTCCTTTTTGCAATGCATGGTCTTTGCCAGATTTTGTAGCCCAAATCTTGTTTGGCGTTTTTGTTTTGGCTCATAAAAATGAACCCATGTTTCGTCATTTCTTCACCCGTGACGACATTTGCAAAAGACCATGAATTGTAATTTGGACACTGTTTAAGCAAAAGTTTTGGCGTTGCACGTAAGACTTTTTCTGTTTTCTGCTCATCTGTCCACCAAGCACAGATCTTCCTCGTTTTCAAATCGTGAGAATGTTATGAGACACAAAGCTGCTTCCAATGAGATTCCCACGATTCTAGCTATCTGGCAACACACAAAAAACCCACCTTTTTAATTTAAGGGCCATAACTCCGCCAAAAATCATTATATGGCATAAGAAGAGTCGTCTGACAAACTTTAAAAATAAAAATTATCAAAGGGCCATAACTGGGCCAAAAATCATTGAACCAGAAAATGATGACGATATACACAACTAGACTTTGTACTGATCATTCCTTTAAAGTTTGGATGAAATGGCATTAGTAGTTTATGAGTATTAGTCCAGACAAGTTTTGTGACAGATGGACAGAGAGAAGGATAGACTGGCTAACAGATGGACAAACAGGCGACGGAGCAGTGATCCCTATATGTCGGAGCAGTGATCCCTATATGTCGCCACTACTCTGTAGAGGCCACATACTAAGACTGAATTTCATTGGCATACTCTGATCTTCTATCAAATAGTTTTGTTTTACCTAATATACGAGTAGACAATGTACAACAGCTATAATCTCAGCTAAAGTGATTATGAATGTGGTATTAAAAGCTAGCATCAATCTCCAACACAGTGATCTCCCCTTACCTGTCTGCTAAGAGAGGTAACCACTATGAGGAGTTTGAACTAGCATGATATCCTTTCGCAATATTAAAATATCACGTTTTAGAAGCATTCATATTTAAACACTCCTCGTATGAGCAACTTCTATAAGTTCTCCACGATTTCCTTAGACATTAGCCCTGCATTACAGACAACAATTATACAATGGTTATGTAAATCAAAAACAAGAGAACACACGTGTTTGGCCTAGGCCCTATTTTGTTATATCATGATGATCAACATATATAAAAGTCGATAAACAATTTCATATATTACAAATGTTGTTTCCCTAAATAATAAACACGTTGCCTCAAACAAAGGAGCTTATTTATACAAAAATATCTTACATAACAACATATAATAATAAAAAGAAGATTGAAGCAAATGAATTTTTACCTGGATTTTCTTGTGAACTTAATAGCTATATTTTAAATTTTCAAGCAAATTAAATGATCACATTTGTGTAGGTTTTGTACACGTATGCAAGAAAGACAATATTACATATATGTGACATAGTATAGTCATATTTGTATTTTGCAGGTTTTTTTCTGGCTCATTTTGGTTATGTTCCAAATGCCAAAAAAATAATAAAATTATTGTCATTTTGTTACATTCAACTGCACAAGGCCATGGAAAATTGTAATCTTGTATTCCAAATTGTAATATGTGCTTATGAGTGAAATAATTATAAAAGGAGTTTAATTAACCAAACATTTGATTTTTTTATCTTATTTGATGAATACAATGTGTTGTCAGTTTTTCCCAATTTGTCTAAAAACATCGTAAAAATTCCCAATTCTGAGGGTTGGGTCCTGTTCCCACCAAAGTGCTGAGAAAAGACCCTGCTACTTCTATTATTCTAGTTTCTCATTAGATCTATTATATGACATAATCATCTGTTTTGAGTGACCATCTGTATACAAGGACCACCATGTTACTCTATTTTGCGGGAATCTACATAGTTTAAATATACCCTCTTTGCATATAAATCTTCAAAACTTTGTCAGGAACAACTAAATAATGACATATCTTAAACTAGAACTATCCCTAAATGCCATTCATATATAACCCCCATTGATGTCCTTAATAGAAAGACAATTAACTTTTGTTGGAAAAAAAGACATACAAAAAGAAATTGTATCAACTTCCTTGTGACATTTCATAAACATTTATGGCGTCAAGTAAACATTTATGGCAACAAGTAAATTCCAGTTCTGGTTTTAGAGAAAATTATTTATATATAAATCTTAATAATATTGGAAGTTGTCTCTAAAATTCATCTTAAAAGCTTTCAGCAACACCCTCACCCAGACCCCAATTTGCATAAATAACTTATTTAAAAACAATATAAACATGTACAAATATACTAAAACTACTTAAAATTTTGATTTGCTATACTTGTATATATTGTACAGACAAAAGTATACATATGATATGGCACTAAGATAAAATTATGTAAGATAACCAGAACGTAGACAAACAAAAGCCGTCTGTTTTGATTTGCTAAAATTACTGTCAAACTCCTCACAGTGATTACCTCCCTTGGCAGAATTGTAATCACTGCCTTCACAGACGTCACATGATGATGAAAGTCACATGACGTAACGTCGAAATTCAAATGTAAATATCGACCGTTACATAGAAAATCTAACGTCATTTTTCTCTTTCTGTTTTATTTTTAACTTTTTGTACCTACGTCCGTTATATTTTATCAAAAAATTATCAAAAGTATACAAAATATTGAAAAATAAATTAAAAAGCTAAAAAATATAAATATCCAAATATTGATATTTCAATGTTTGTGATGGCAGAGATCTCTGTACTGATAAGGGGAGATCACTGCGTAGGAGATTGAAATTACTGTATGGATTATTATACAGTCAGACAAAGTATAAATATAACATGGCACTAAGATAAAATACTAGTATGTAAAATAACAAAAATGTAAACAAACAAGAGCTATTTGTCAGACAGCACACTCAACTATTCTAAGTGCTTGACAGTGTGCATGAAAAGGGGACCTATGCCCATCATGTTAAATAATCACAGAGAACAAGTGTGTGAATTTACAACCCATTCCCTCCAGTAGTTTTGGAGATAGCAACTTGCATGCAAAAACTTAACCAAAGTGTGACACAAGTGAGACACCGATGCCCGGTTGACTACACTCCTCAAGCTTAAGTTAAAGTATAACTAATGCTTTCATCTTTATCACAGATATTATAAGAATTATATATATGTACATTCAAAAAATAGCAATACATGTAGCTTAAAAAACTTGACAAAACATGCTGTAAAATAAATACTCATAATACCAATAATACTAGACCACCTCTATTATACATGTACATATTATATTGGACTGGTACAGCTGTAAAACCTATATTGGACAAGGCACTATTTATAAGCTAGGATCCAATAATGATTTATATTGGAAGATCACATGGTGCAAATGCGGTAAGTTCATTGGTTACATTTTATATAGGGTGTGAAATAATGAATCTATATCCAACTTTACAGAATACAAAGCGTTTTACAGACTCTAGCATGTACGTATAAAGAGTACAGTTTAAAGCAATATAAATGTATATCAAAAACAAATTTTCTCATTAAAATTAATTTATCACAATCATATTTTTATATAAATACAAAAACTCCTATTATCTATATCACAGTAATGATTCAATTTTGAACAAAAAGACTTTGATTCCAGCCAGAAGAAGACTTCAATCAGCATTAGGTTGCTTCCAGTCTAATCCATTTTAGTATTAATTATAAATGTCATGTATGTAAATATGTTCTTATCTGATGAAAAAAAATATGTTTAAACCAATACTGAACATAATGCACCAATCACTGCCAACCTAATCACCTCCCATCGGTACGCATTAGAAGATGTATTTCACACTCCCAAGTAAAGAAGTAGATGGCTTTTTCTTTGAGCCCAAAAAAAGTCTTTGAATCCCAAAATATACCAGGGCTTTACTTTTGCAAAAGTCAAAGCCCCTGCCATCAAAGGGCCTCCACCTAGATCTTGAGGCTCACTTACAAATGAGTGGTGTACAGGGATATTCAAAATAATGCGTAGCAAAAAATTTCCTGCAGGGCAATATGATATACAAGTATAATGTAATACAAAAAAATATAAAATAAAATTCCAAGTAATTAAATTACCTAAATAAATTCATATATCTACTCTAATTAACAGCTGCCAATAACAAAAACTCAATTAACAAACTTGAAAACATAAATAATCTGGCACATGATTGTTCACATAGTTACACAATTTAACAAATTTTGATTTTTTTGTTAGATAAATAAATTACAATATCACAATATAATAATATTTTGATTGTCATAACATATGACCAATATCTCAATGAGTTACATGCTTTCCTAATGCTTGAATTGCCCTATCAAATCTCATAAGATCTTCTAGTGACTTTAACTCAACCTTCGATTCCAGCCAGCGATAGAAAGTGTCCGGTGACTAAAACGAGAAATTACAAAAATTATATTAAATTATAAAGTGATCATACAATGTCAACACAATACTATGAAAATAAAATATATAATTGAGGAATTAAATATTATATAAATAGAGGTTATTGAATGAGTGTTGGTTTAACACATAAAATCATATGCGAGCCTCTGGTGAGCATAATATATTGTTTTATGCAACAAGTTAAATAAATTTAGTATTGAATCTACACAAATATAATATTCTTTTTATCACATAATTACAAAAAATAAGAACGGTAAACTGTTAAAAAGAGTTATCGTCTATAGTGTAACACTAATATTAGCGTGCTTTAATGCAATGTTTACAAATAACACAAATGATGTCGCGTAAAAGTGTTATTACAGTGGTGTAATATTTATTGTTTTTATTAAATGGCTTTATTACATGCTTTTCGGTGGTTTATAGAAATATATCAATGAATTAAAACTGGTAATTTCACTGTTTCAAACAGTGAAATTACCACTTTGATAATTTCACTGTTTTGAATTTAAGCCCCTTACGTTGTTTCAGTGAAATACCAGCGTACACAGAACTGGGTACCAACTTAATGACGTGACGTCGTAAATGACGTCACGTTGTATTATTTTTTGGCGCGCTTTTCATTCAGTATTAGGTTTAATGTCTTTTTAAAACGTTTCTTTGCATGTAATAAAAAGAAAATTTGTTTAGTTTAGTGTAAGATCGAAATATATTTCACCTTGTGAACACCAAAAGTTCATATTTCACTCGTGGCTGCGCCACTCGTGAAATATACCTTTTGGTGCTCACTCGGTGAAATATATTACGATCTTACACTGAACTAAACAAATATCCTCTATTTATTACACTCCTGCACTGCGGTTTATGTTATAAGAGAAAACACACACCACTGAGGGCCACCTAAAAATATACGGACAAACAGTATGGTTTAGACATTTAACAGACCAACATCTCAAGGCTGAGTTTTGTTAAAAACTGTTTGGTGCTCACTAAAAATGCTGGTCACGAAGTGTGAAAAACGTTTTTCATATTCAACAATTTTAAAAAAAAATTTAGTATTGAATCTACACAAAAAAATATTCTTTTTTTTCACTTTAATTACAAAAAAAAAGAATGAAAAAATCCCCCAAAAGATTTCATCTTCTGCATTACGTGTCTATAGTGCAAACAAAAATTATTTTGCTTTAATGAAAATTTTACATTTTTAAACGCAAATGAGGGTCACGAAAAAAGTTTTTTTTACATGGGTGAAATTTAATTATTTTTTTTTATTAAAGGGCTTTTTTTACACTCCTGATTTTCTTTTTATGGTTTAAGAGAAAGCATACACCATTTGAGGCCCCCCTAGAAATTTTAGGGGCAAAGGGGCCCCCTTTAGAAATATAGGGGATAAACAGTTTTGGTTTAAAAACAAAAAAACAGACCAACATTTTCAAGGCGGGAGTTTTTTTTTAAAAAACTGTTTGGTGCTGTCAACAACATTACAAGCAAAACATACTGAAAACTGACAACATTTAGCAGTCACCAATTTATTTTGACCCCCCTGTAAAATGTATGTTATGAAAAATTTTCTTTGGCAGTTATGTAAAAATAAATATTAGCAGAACTTATATAAAATCTTCTATGGCAGTTATATAAAAATAAATATTAGCAGAACTTATATAAAGTCCAAAATTAATTATAATAACTAATGACCTTGACCTATGGGACTCCTACAGGCGTTATTCTACTAAAAGTTAGAACCACCAAATTTACCGTCAAATCAAATAGAGACATTAGCAAATAAATAAAGGTTGTATTTATAAGCAAGAGTAACAAGCATTATTAAGGGAAATAATTAAATAACCAAGTAAAAAAGAGTTTCTCTCACTTGTTTCTATGACTGTTACAAATCTTAATCAAATTCCTCTATATTTTTCAAGTTCAAGGACACACAAAAGTGACAACTATAATTATACTCTTCCCATTCTTCAGTAAACATATCTTATTTGGGCCTTTTTCTCCTCAAGATATCAATTGGGCAAGGATTATACAAAAAGAGTCACTGTCTCCTCGATCTTTGACCTATTTCACTAAAAATCAATGTTGATCATCTACTGGCAATGGGCAATGTCCCTACTAAGTTATATACATGTAATTATTATTGTAATCCATATCATATTTCCTTCTAAAGTTATTGATTGTACTAGCATACAGATAGAACCCATCACAGTTTGCTCCTACTAAATTCTTAAGTGAGGACATAAAAAAGTGGTTTTTAGCTTATAAAACATTTGAAACATTGACTAATTTTGCTTTTAAAGGATTAGGGAATATTTTTTGAAAATTTGATAAATGACACTCCCCAGTAAATTTTTTAAAAAATTTTTTAAACTTTTTTTACCCCTTAATTCTCTCCCCTTTTACCTTGACCATACCTTTGTAAAGGGAATTTTTCTAACTGTTCACCTGTCAATCTCTTTACAGCCTTAAAACCAGGCCCTCTGAAAGATAAAGTTATACATATTATATTAAAATCAAAATCAAAAAAGTACCAATGTTAGATGATTTCAAAATTTTATAATGAAGTGTATCGACTTTAATTACAAGAGCTGTCACAGGATACAGCGAAGCTCGACTTATTAAATACTGGAGGCAGTAAGGAATATAAAACTATGAAAGAAAAATCAATTATGATATAAATATACTTCTTCTTATGACAAGAATTTATACTTGTAAACATAAATTCCGCTTTCAAGGGGGGTAAATGCTAGAAATAGTCACACTAGAGCTATGGACCTTGTCACACAACATGTGTGTAATGATAAGAAATATATATTTGAAGTTTGAAGTAGATACCTTAAAAAGTAAACAAGTTATAATATTTATAAAAGAAAATTCTAACTTCAAAGGGAGATAATTCAGAAAATATTGCTTCAAAAGTGATGAATCTTGTCACATAAGATCTGGTGGATGATAAGGAATATACATCTTGGAGATAAATCGAATATTGGTGCTCGAGTTATAAACCTTTTCATATAAAATGTGGTTTTGGAAGGGTTTTCCCCTTTAAAAAAAAAAAGTAAAATTAAAAAAAATATTTTTTAAAAAAAAATTCTTTAAATTTTAAGGGGAGTAAAAAATAAAACTTTTAAGTTAAAAAAAAAAAAAGTAAAAAAGGGAAGGGGTAAATCTGGAAAAAAATTTTGGGGCTTTGGGGTTAAAGAACCTTGTCACATAAGATTTTGGTTTATTTATAAGGGAAATAAAAATTTGAAGTTTGAAGTTGATACCTTATTTAAATGAATAAAATTATAGTTTAAAAAAAATTCTACTCCCCCAAAAAATTTAATCTGAAAAATTTTGGGCGCGGGCGCAGGGCAAGTAGACAGCTTCTTTCCCTATACTTCGTTTTAGTCGAGCTAAAAAAGTTTTAAAATGTATTACCCAAAAAATATGTCATAGGGGCCGAAACAGGAAAAATTTATTTTTTTTTTAAACCTTTGGTGTTACAAACTTAAAGCACCTCATCTGCTGGAGTCAATAGATGCATAAACTCCAGTCATTTGAACCAATTTAGTCGCGTCTTATGATCACTCAGGGTTAAACAGTGGCTGCAATTCTTATGCCTCAACCCTTTAAGGCAACCCCTCAGCCACAAAGGGGTGGGGGATGTGTTACTTGAATGGAATCAAACTATTCTGTTGGTCTAATCTAAAGATAGCTGGCCACATGGGTTCAAACCTTGTTGTTTCCATGAGCAAGAAACTTTACAGTCATTGCTCTGTACATGTACTGGTTTCTTCCAGGAATGAACTCGAGAGTGTTCCAGTAAGCTAGCTACCAACACAATCAAACTAAAATACATTAGTTTAAACTAAATAAGCTGCAAGCAGATTGCAAAGACAAGATTAACCAAATACCTGCTTTTTTTTTTTGTAATGGTACTGTCCAGCTTTAAATTTGAAACATTTTGTTAGAAAAAAATCAGGAATTTTAATATCAGAATACAAAAATTAAGATACCAACATGCCTGTTCAGATTGTATGTGTGCCAGATTGACCTGGCTCTATATTAGTGGCATGGGCTAATCAATATTGATTCCAATATCGTAAAGAGTAGGAAAGATACATTGTAATAAACGTGACCAAATGATTATAATTATACAATGTTTGATTCAGAATCAATCCCTTATCCCAGTTCTAAATTTATAGCATCACAAACAACATCGTAATTACTCTCTAGTGACATAAACTTTATCAATCCCAATATCAATCCCTATTCTATTTCAATCGCCCAGGATCTATATGTATTTCAAAAACTTCTGTAGTTTGCCTTATTTTGCAATACTGAGACAGCCATACTCTAAATATATTGCTTAAAAAGGTCTAACAGGGGATGGGCTAAAAGCGTTTTCAGCGGGGTTTTTTAAAAAATTTTGTTAGAAAAACTATTCTGTGTTGTTATAGTAACTTTATTATTTTATCATATCACTGTTAAATCTTTAACAACACAGCATCCTGAAAGTTATTTATTACATAACAGTAACCTTTGTTTCTAAAAAAAAAATAGATGAGGAAACAAATTGTTAGCTTTATTAAGAGAGGACCATTAGATTAGAGGTATCGAGGGGGCTTCCTTATTGTTTAAGTATCTTAATGACAGCAAATTTCATTTTCAACCTTCATTCTTATGATTTGACAATTATATGAAACAACCTATCATAAACATATTTAACCTTTGGGAAAGCTGAAGGCCGTTTTAAGAAGAGGAACAAAGTAAAATAGAGTTGTCAGAGAAGTAAGCATGGATAAATTATTGAATACTGGATGCTGATATTGACGATAAGGTGAGTAGGACAGCTTCACTAATAATTAAGATAAGTGAAATAATATCATACTCAAGTCTGTGTTCAGCTATCCAAGAATCAATTTGCTGCTTTGACCAGGATCTTAATGGACTCACAGCTGGTTCTGGTAGAGGTTTCGGAAGTGGTGTTGGTTCTCTTTGAGGCTCATCATCCTGTTTCTATAAAAGAAGAATATCTGTCATTGCTAATATGTTTTAGTCCTACAATTCCACTTCCTAAAACAAAACTTGCTAGACCTAACACAAAAATTCTTTTTATTAGCATGACTCTTTATTTTAAAAAAAAATGTTTCTATGCTCCTTTAAAACTTAATTCCATAATTGAGTTGTGTTACTTTTCTAGTTCTATTCACTCACGTTTTGAAGTGGTCATAAGTTTTGAAATGTGTTTACTAAATCCAGTTGCCCTTTAGATTTTTTGTTTCATAAGAATGTGAGTGCTCAGTTTTTTTAAGCATGCACACAAGACATTAAATTTTGTTTTCATCAAGTACTAGAGTACTAAAGTTCTAGAGGAGAAGCTGACATCAATATTGCAGGGAGAGACTACTTTCGAGAAGAAAACAACAGAGCAATGTTTACTCAAATTGCCAAAGAAAGAATGTTTGACTAGAAATACTTTATAAATCATCAGATTCACTAAATCTCACAAACAAATTTGTGTTTCATCTGACTGACAAACCATTTTTTTTTACCTTATTCTTAAAATCTATTGATTTCCAAATATGTGGTGATATGCCCTCAAAATATAATATAATTATAATACACAAAATTACTTACAATCTGGTTCCTAACTTTAATCATCTGATCTTCAAATGGATAGTGTGGTGAGAACTCAATGTAAAGCCGGGCACCAATTAGAGCTCCAAGCCAACCGTCAGGTTTATACCCTCGCTGCATCTTTAATGGCACAATGTTCTTCTGCTGAGCGTATGCATAATCTGCCTCTTTGAAAATACAAGTAAATCATTCATAATGTCCGATTTTGTTAACACAAGCAAATATACTGCACACAGTATAAAGTGTATAAAGCTATATATCGAAGGTTGACAGCAAAATTGTTGTAAGTCATTCTTTGTTTTATATAAGTTACTGCACTTTAGTGGTCAACTCTTGATGTTTGATGTCTGTGGATTGTAAAACTATATTGTTTATTTTGTGATAAAAATTATAACAGAATAGATAGAATGAACAAAAATTGTTATTATTTTTTACTGAAAGCAAGTGTAGCATACATGAAACCATTGCCAAAACTACTGAAAAATAACAGCAGAATATTTTGTTCAAGATTATTTTATTTTCTGCTACATATAAAATACATGTTTAATAGGATTTTTTTTCAATATTTTGTGTTACAAATCTTATAAGGTTTTAAAAACAACATAAAATTACTGTTCTTAAATTAATTTATGGCGCATAAATACAATTTAGGTCACATGTTGCCAGGACAGGAAAGATGTTTTTGGCTAACCTTAAGTGTTAAAAACTTGAAGCAACACCAGGGGTCACCTCACCTGCTGGAGCTAATAGATGCATAGACTCCATTAATTGGAACCCATTTTGTCAACTCTTAAGAACTGTGGCTGCAATAATGAAGCCTCAACCGTAAAGACAACCCCTCAGCCACAAGGGGACTTATGTTTTAGTAAAAAATTTCTTCAGATATAGCTATATACATTGAAATGGGCATTATTTTAGTAGTCCCATATCTTGAAATCTAGTTTTCTGAATGCTTCTTAAGCAACAATAATTCACCTAGGCCTCCAGTTTAATGCAGTCTGACAAATCCCTATACTGCTGACTGCATAAATTTAAGTATCTTAACCTTTTCCACACGAAATATCTTAAATGGACTTGTCCATTTTTCAATCTGGACTAAACCATTTATCATTTATAGGGAAAAATTCAAAAATAATTATACTGACTGAATATAGCCAACAATGAAGACCTGGTGATCAGATGGTGCAGACATGCCAGCTTATCTTGCACTGCACTTGTCACATGGTTAAATTCAATCACCACCAGCTGACTAAGATTTAAAAGAGTTTTTTTCCGGCCCATTATGATGACTGATACTGGGTCATGTTCCAAATGGGAAGAAGTACGTGTTTTTTCCCAATTTCAAGGAGATAATTCCCCATTTAAGGAACAAAAAATAAAATAAGTATTATCATTTTGTTACATTCAACTGCTCTATGCCATTGAAAATTGTAATTTTGCATTCCAAATTGTAATATGAATGGAATATACAAGGAATTTAATAAAACAAATATTTGATTTCTATGTCTTATTTGTTACATGTATATACACTATGTTGTCAGTTTTTCCCAAACTGTCTAAAACATCATAAAAATTCTCATTTTTTGGGAAAGTCATGTTTCCAAGTTTAACAACATGCAATAAACTGTTTGAAACATGGAAAATATAATTAACAAATATTGCAGGGAAATATTTTATAAGTTCAAATGAAAGTTATATCTTATACCTGTTCGACAGTTCTGACTGTTTCTGTACTGTTCAGAGAAGCAGATTAAAATGACGTAGGCCTCCTCGACAGCCCTCGCCATTCCCTCAAGTAAGTTGGCATATTTATTCATCTCATTCACATCAATCCAAATAGGATAACCCTCATTTGCAAGGATCTGATGAATCTATATAATAAAGTACTGGTAAAAAATATGAATCATATAACCCTTGTTGGCAAATACTGTGTTTTAACAATGATCCTTAGGGCCAGGCAAGTTACGACTCAAGCACTTGACATCATTTAACAAAGCATTTTTTGGAAATTAGGCCACCTGTATTTCACCCAAAAATTTGCGAGTTAAAATCATAAATTTAGACGAATAATTGCATATTGAATCTGAATGTAATTTACTATATATTCAATTTCTGCAGATTTAAATTGAAATTTAAAATTTGGATTTTAAGTGTTGTTCATTGTTACTTCAAAAATCAACCATTTTGCCAATGATAATTTGTTAGCAAAAGTCTTATTGACTGTTACTTCGAAAATCAAATTTTTTTGACAATGATTGTAATGATGCAAGTTAGAATTTAATCTAGGTAATTGACTGTGAACATGCATTTGAAAATTTAATGACTTACACAGTAAACATTAAGAAAATTTTTTTAATCGCCTTGAGTTTCTATTTAATGTTCTTTGTATGAATAAATGCAATATGATAAAAGCAAAGAGTGTTCTTCTCATATCATAACAATGTATATGAATTTGCCTTTTATATAATACCTATTTGGTTTAAAAATAAACATTAAGGAAATTTAAAGAAATATTACAAGAGCAATTCAATACAAAACATTTGCTAAGAATTCTTATTTTTATCTTTTGAAAACAAAATTACAATTATCAGGATCATCATCTGAATTTTGTAAACTTTAGCACAGATATACATACAACTCCATGACTTTAGCTTGCAACATCCATCCATGTGAGAGAGACAGTTCATTTACTTGTTGTGAATACAATAACTTATTTCTCTTTAACTGGTAGTCTTACTATTATGCTTTCCCACCAGAAAAAGCTAATCAGTTATTTCCGGAACGTTATTGTTTTCAAATTTTTTGGCGTGACATTATTTACAATCACTCCTATATCGCTATCTTCTAAATTCCACATAGATGTACAAAATGTTAAAAGTTATTGCATACCAAATGTGCGAATAATAGCTGATTTTGCATTTATTTATCACAAAATCACAAAAGTTTTTCTGCATGACTTAATTAATGCAGTATTCAAGGACCATTTTGCATATTTTAATCTCTTTTTGGTTATTTACATGGATTGCAAGTACAATTAGCAGCATGTAAATTATTTTCATTGTTCCCGACACAATACCTGCAATAATGTACTTTTAAACACATTTTCAAACTTTTCGAGAAAATGAGCACAAATCTTGAGGCATATTGCACAAGGTATCTGTGTACATCTAATGAAGCTCAGGCAATCATATCCCCCCCACCCTTGCATTATCTCTTTATCAGAGGTAAAGGTCATTTATACAGCAGGGGATATCAAATAAAGAAACTTTTGTCAAACTGACAAATTTTGAAGTGGACCTGCTAATTTAACATACACAAGACCATACAATATTTACAACTTACCCTTTGAAATATAAAAACAGACGTTATTTTTTTTTGGTGCATGTTAAACAGAGATAATATAAATTTACAGTATTGTTTAATTACGATAAACAGTGATTATATAAATTTACAGTATTGTTTATTTATATTTCTGTTTACTAGTTAAATATCAAAGACAAAACAAGAAGAACATTTAGAAGGCCCTAAATCACTCACCAGAGGATAATTGGTCTACATCATGGACAAGATAGAAAGTGCCAGGATATTCATTGTTCAACAGACCAGAACAATACGAGTGGCATTAATTGTGCTTATCTATTCCGTAGTCAAGTTGAGATGTTTTAGCAATATATTTCGAACGGTTGACTGTTTGATTGACCAATCATCAATAACAAGATATGTTTGTAAAACATGTATGCCCCCTATCAGCAGCCAATTAGTCATGTGATAAGGTTATTATGCATGACTTCTGACCCCGTGATTTAAAAAATTAAAAGGGGGTTTTAAAAATATCTACTGGCATACCTTGACCTTTTACCTTTGACCCCAAAAATCAATAGGGGTTTT